TATATATATATATATATATAAGCATCAAAGTTGGGAAGCTCACAAAAAGATCAAGACGAAGAAGGGGGAGCGCCGTGGAAAAGTATAGTCGACAGCGAAGAAGAATAGGCTTTGATAGGAATGATCGATAGAGAGACGAAGCTACGCTTCAACAGTAATGTTAGGAGGCTTGGGCAGGACTTTGATGCTTGATAGAGAGATGATTGCTTAGATGATGCCAAAGCAATGACGTTTGAACCGGCTTAGGACAATGCTAAATAAGCAAGGTGGATGTTTTGCTCTAGATTGAGGCGTGCCTCAAACGCTTCGAGGTATTGCTCCTCGAATGGCATGCTTAGCTTCAAAAAGGCTTAAGCGTAACCAATAGCAATGTGGCTTAAGCCTCGAGGCACTCTTTAGCTTTAATCCAGAGTTATCTTAAGATTTAATTAACTATAGGGGTTTGTCCTTATAGGAAGTTAGTAACTCAGACTAATCTAAGCCATATAAAGTTTTTGGGTTAAATAAGGGAAATATTTGTTGGTTTAAAATGTAAGCCCATCAAATATTGAATAGTTTTTTTTATTTGAATAATTGAGTCTATAGTGAATTGATATTTATATATTTCGAGATAGTATGCCATATTTGATTATTTAAAAAAAATAAATATTTGAAAATTGTGTGGTAGACACGAAAAAATAAACCAAAAGTGAGGCGTATGCCTCGACGTGGAATTTTTTGTGATCATGCAGAGGCAAGCCTCTAATTGTGCATTTTAATCAGAGAGTGCATGTCCTCTTGGTTTTACAAGAGTGGTAAGTCAAATTTTCGTTGAACACAAAAGGGTTTAGTGTTTCGAATGCAGTCAAGATGATAAAGTGAATGCAGTTGACAAAAAAAAATCAGAATTTATGGAACAAATATCAATAGACACACAGAAATTTACTTTTTTTCAATATTGGACATGAGAAATACTAGAATTTAAACCAAAATAAAATGCAATCATTTTAATCCAAATAAATCATTGAACTTGAATCATGAACAATCAATACTCGATTGATTTTTACATGACAATTGAAGCCTGTCGGCGCTTAAAAGGGGGAAAAGAGAGTTTTTAAATGTTTGGGGGTCGCCCGTAAGAAGCTGTCGGCCGCCGGAATCGAAATCTCGTCGCCCGCTTCGGAAGGACTTTTTAATTTACGTATATATATATAATTTTAGAAAAATATGAAATCAAACTGACCTCATATTTTCCATAGTTTAAATGAAAGAGCACTCAACCTCAAATCTTGTATCTACCCCAAGGGATAAACACAAGACTTGAGGGTGAGGCTCGATCAAATAAACTAAAAAAGATATGACATCCGTTTGGGTCTGCGAAACCGTTTTATTTGCCGACAAGTTCCCCTATTTAATACAAAAAATTAAATAGGGTTTATTTTAAGCTGGGTTCGGAAAAGCTCCCTATAAGGGCAAGCCCCTATAGTTAATTACATCTTAAATGACCGAAGTCACCTAAGAAAACTCTCGATAAAAATCAGGGGATAATGTCTTCAAAGAGGTCAAAAGGATAGGACTTTTCAACGAAATCGGACGAAGAAAGTGTGAAAGGGGAAATGCTCAAATCTGGAACATTGTT